AGCTTATAGTTGCTTACTTATCTTATGTTCCCATAGCTTAATGGCTGCTTACTGATCTTATGTTCCACATAGCTTAATAGATGCTAACTGATCTTATGTTCCACATAGCTTAATAGCTGCTTACTGATCTTATGTTCCACATAGCTTAATGGCTGCTTACTGATCTTATGTTCCACATAGCTTAATAGCTGCTTACTGATCTTAAATTCCACATAGCTTAATAGTTTCTTACTGATCTTATGTTCCACATAGCTTAATAGTTGCTTACTAATCTTATGTTCCACATAGCTTAATAGTTGCTTACTTATCTTATGTTCCACATAGGTTAATAGCTGCTTACTGATCTTATGTTCCACATAGCTTAATATCATTATCTTCGTTGCTTACTAATCTTATGTTCCACATAGCTTATTCTCATCATATTCTACATAGACTGTCTGTCGTTTTAATGTCTCATATGGCTAGCAGTTATTATAGCTTCGACAGAACTTTTCACTTTAATGTTCCCTTAAGCTAGTACTCACGATTTCCACTTAATTGGTCCTCACCATTGGTCCTCACCATTTTCAACATTTTTTGTCGTCATAATTTCCCACGTAGTCTATCGTCGTAAATGTTCTACATTTCGTCATAAAGTTCGACGTAATTGGTCGTTAGGATACATCACCATTTCATCATGAAGGTTTACCACGTTGTTTTTTGGCTAAAATTATAGTTTATCATTATATTTTACGCGTAGTTTCTCGTTATTTTGATATGTCCCATATGTGGTTTATTATTATGTTCCACATAGTTTAACGATATGTTCTTGATAATGGCATAGTGTTCCACATAATTTATTGATGTAACGTAATTATATATGATATTATCCCGAATAATTGTATATGTGATTTGGTTCACTATACGGTACAGTGCGAGCTAGTTGATAAGCGTCACTTGTCTACAGTTATGCATATAGAAGACGAGTTATCTATGTTATACACCAGTTCTGTTACTAGCCTCTGTGTGTGTGATTCTTGTGAATAACCTGAATAAAAGTCCTGATACTTTTCAGAGTCTAAAGACGAATCTAAATGACTGAGTTTCCCATTAAGGAAAACCGTACATCGTATACTGTATTTATTTGGTTAGTATTTTTTACATAACCTTACGTCAAAATGTTCTGCATACTGTAGCTATATCTATAATTATATGCAATGTTGCACATCGTTTATTACAATGTTCCACATAGTTTAACGTTATGAAAAGTTCCACAAAGTTCATTATTATAACACAGTATTTCTATACGTTCATTTATTATTATGTTTCATATATACTGTAGTAGTAGAGATATCGGAATGTTTCATATACTGTACAGTACTCTATCATTATTTTTTTATACCCTGTAGTTTATCGTTAGTATGATCTGCATAGTTCACCGTTTCTATTTTTAACATTGTAGATTGTATTCCACATAGTTTATCGTTATCGCGTTCCATGTAGTTAATCGTTATGTTATGCTATACTTGTTATAGTCATTGACCACTAGATGATTTAGATAAAGTAATAGTTTTATGATAACTTTTATCCTTATTTTTATTTGGCACCGTTGATAGTTGATTGTCGTTATGTTCCACATAATTTATCGTTATTACCAATCCTATTTAACATAGTTGATCAATATTAACTTAGTACTTACTTCTACATATTAGATTGTTACATAATGTTCCATGCTTGATTGTTGCATTTCATATACAGGCATAATTAAATTAAAATTATTTGATTGATATGATGTTCCACACAGTTACTCGTCATTATGTTCCACATAATTGATACTTTTATGTTCCTCATACAGATTCTGTAGTCCATCATCATAATTTTCTTCGTAGCTTATCGTCTCCTATTCCATACACTGTAATATATCCTAGTTATGTTTCACAAATTACTTCGTTATTATGTTCCGCATTAGTGAATGTTTAAACGGTAGACTTCAGACTTTTCGTACATTTAGCAGTTACATTTCACAAAACGGCTTCGATTAAGTTTTATCAGTAATCATCTTTATTCATCATTACTAATTTCCGCCTTGCTTATTTATTTTATTTTATTTTATCTCGGATACAGTAGTTAACATTAACGCAATCGTTTTTTTGCATGGCTATTATCATTATAATATGATTTAGGCTTTGCATAGCTTAACATGTGAGTTCTAAATATTTCATCGCAACGCTTCATTTAGTTTATCATCATTGTAATGCACTTCATCCAGTGGTTTATCATCAATGTACTCTGCACAGCTTATCATTGTGAGTATTCTGATTACCATATTTTTTGCAAAGATTACACTAATTATAATTATATTCATATTCCACACAATTTATGCAATACTATTTAACAGTAAAGTTTCATCTTGATTAAATAGCATATTCCAGCAGTTGTTTATATGAAAGTACCTATATTTTATTCACAGTACCTTACAATCTATTAACATGTTACTATGATGAAATAGAGCGCTACGTTACTGTCGTATTAGTAAATGTACGATTTGATGGTATTTAGCAAGTGAGGCAATGAACTATAAAATGTTTATTAAAAGCTTTTGGTTCTCATTTGCTAATTAGTAATGATAAAAATCTGCAATAGCTTAAGATATGACTGTGCTTAGTTGTAAATTGTTATTAGAAAAGGAGATTATTTACCAAATATATTTAGTAAATCATACATTCTTAAATGTTCTATACAGCTTATGAGATCTGGCTTAACTCATAAACTACTGGGCAGCAAGTAAATGCATAGCATGTACTAAATGATGCTTCACATATTATATAAGCTATTAATCCGAAGTAACTAGCATTACTGAATTACTGTGCCTATTTATGAGCTGCTAAATGTACGCTTTAAAGTGTATCTTTATTAACCACATGTTAAAAGTCTTCGGATTATCTGAAGATCGGAGAGTCGCCAATGTCTTTTAGAGTATCATAAATAACAAATCCAGCTCCTTCTTTGTATATTATAATTGTGCTGCTGTACTGCCACCATTTGATTATAATAACGAATGGGGTTCACTTCTATCCGGAGTCTGCTTTACAGTAAATAGAGATAAGATGACGATATCTCAATAGTATGCAAGCAACACATACACTAGAAAAGCGAGAAAGTTATTTAGTAGTCTTACAAATATAATTATTGGACTAAGCGAAAGATTCCGAGACTGGCTGTCACTATAATCAATAATAGAAGAAATGTTGTTACGATGTAAGGGATATAATTATGATCTACAGTATAAATTTACAGACTACTGTGCAGTGCCAATAAGCTTCCATAGCTCACAGTTAAACACTAACCAAGTAATCATTTAAAATTACTACTTTTATCTACTTAACTCTCATCAGTATATTTAAGGCTGATTATTGTATCCATTTTAAAGTTGTATCAATCGTGATAAATTTGTAAATTAAATTATTATGATTAGGAATGTGAATGACGTCTGCAGACTTGCTCTATTTACAAGAATGCAAGTGATACGAACCTGCGGCTAGGAACGTCAATCCGTATCGGTTAAGGGAACTCGATTTGATACTACGACTCTGCTTTAAAATGTATAAAGATGCGCCACTACACACAGTAAAAGCAGTTAGTTTACAACTAAGACAATCACCATTCTTGGATGTAGTTCTCGGTTGACTTGGATTTGGCATTGCAGTTCTCGATCAGTATTGGAAAAGTGCGCAAATTTGTCCTCGTAAATCTCTCTCTTCATGAAGACATTACAAAGAAAAATGGTCTTTACATTGTATGTATTTCCAGTTAATAATAGTTTTAGTCAGCTTACTTTCTTATCTGATAGTATACGTAAAATAAATTCAATATCGAAGGTCAAATTTCAATTTCAAAATAATCATGTCAATTTACCAAGTGGTGCAATCTTTCCTACTTTCGAGTCCCATTCAGCTAATTGATTGATCTTCAATTACATCAAAGACTCGCTAAAGGTATAGTATATGCGTATGTGTATGGTATTGGATATAGATCTGAATAAATTGCACCTAGCGAGAGTAGTTCCAACTTACTCGTCAGTAGTTCTACAACTGAATTAATTCAGGCCCCACTACTGCCTTTGACAGTTGTAGTGCACCTCGGGCTACCAGAGCTACTTATGAGGCAGTTATTGAGACTTACTTCGCCAGGATATTCCTGTATCTGCGCAGACGTACTGTATGGTGTGGGTTGGACAAGGTTGCAGCCTGTCATACTTGTACCTATACCATGGTTGTATCATGGGCTACTGCCTACTGGCAGTGTTCATACTTTCCCAAAGAACTAGACATGCTGCCTTTTGCAGTTTAATAGTACAGTATACTATAGTAGCGAAGTCTGTCCGTACTGCTACTGTAAATCCTTCATACTTGGCGTTATTGGAGAAACTTGACACGTCAATGGAGTCTTGATGAAGCACGTTATCGAATGAATGGTGGTGATCTTGGAAACAGAGAACTTGGATTGATTTCAAATTGACTACTTCAATACTGACAATTGGCTTACTATAGCTGCTCATAAACTTAACTCATCATTAGTTCTGGATATGTAAACTTGGCAATGTTACTTACTTCAAAATCCGTTATAGCAGCACTTTGATGGAACCTTGGTAACACGTCTATCAGATTGATCCCTGCACTTGCAAAATGTACAAGAGCTTATAGATCCATACCAAGTCAAGCTGAACGTTGAAATAGCTTTGAATCAACTGATTTTGAATCAAGTAGTAGCGCTCTTGTCATACTAAATAGCAAATTTATCAATCAACTGACATAGTGTATCGTCCTGTCAAGTTTCTATCACCAATGATTGGCCTACATGTTCCATAACTTGGGTCTTTTCATTGTTGCCGGAAGTAGAGTAATCAATTATTGACTGTAAGCTTGATACAACATCAATAGAAATAGAATACACCAAGTAGACGGTCTTAGTATATGTTAATGAAGTGATGATAGTGACTGTAATTCATGCAATTTAGCGTTGATTTTAGATGTATATAACTCTTACATACGTTACTAAACTATACTTACTTTTAGGCAATCTTTTCAGCTAAATAGGCAGTGATTACCTTATAGTCGGTTAAATTACATTTAATCCAAGCCATTTGATCGATTCATCCCATATTGAAGGTAGCAATTTGAAGTTGAAAAACGAATTAGAAGCACTACAAGAAATTCGTGGTCGTAAAAGGAATTTAGTCTTATATCAAGTTGGCAATACTGGATACTAAATCAGGATACTATAAAGAATTGAAAGAATTTGATGCAAGCGCTGATTTTGGTAAATTATTATCATGCATTTATCACCTACATCTACTTAACTTAATTGTATCTATTCTTATCAAATTGTTAAATGGCGTATAACCTGCTCTGTTAAACTATGCTAAAATGTGGGATACAGTAACAATGAATACGCAGAGCTTTAAGTGTTGTTCATGCAAACAAGAAGATGGCAGGTTTGTTCGCAAAATAAGATATTCTTTCTTACTTACATACCAACGATCTAGTATATCTTGAGGCAAACCCTGAAAAGATGTACTGACTATCTGCAACATTAATAACCCTTCTATATTTAAATTTCAGGACATATTCTTTTGATAGACGATTTCTCCGACGCCTTTATCTTATTTTAACTAAGGTAGTCTTCTCGTCATGGCTTACATCTACCTCCTTTCTACTTTTTCTGCTCTTAGGGGCTTCTATAATTGGTAAGAGTAGCTTTGGTAGGGTATTTAGCAGTGCAATTAGTCATGGTAAATTGCAAATACTCATTTTAGAAATGTTTTCCATTAAGCTTTTCAATCAACGATTATTCCGGTAGTAATAGTTTGGTTTAATGTGTTGTTCTGAGCAATTGGTACAGTGCCGTAGTACCACCTGATCTAGAATAGCATTAATGTACTATACGTGTGGATGCGCTTGTACCTTCAGTGATGTCAAACCGAATGAGAAATTCGGGGATGGTAATGATATACCGTAAATATATCTATCATAGTCGTCACAATTTCGAAAAAGTGAACAATAGTGAGCGAAGTAATGATTTTTAAAATGCAGTGTAGGTAGTCTACCCTGAATTCTACGAGATATACCGCCTTCAAACTAGCCATAAATTTAGTTGTTACTTTTCTTGGTAAATGTTGTAATATTATTATATATTATATATGTGACTATCAAATAATTTTAGGTTCGTAATATGTTTACTCACATGCAAGGATTTTGTTAATTTACTTTCTATACTAACTGTAGTACTTCCAGTTGTACATATTTCACTCTACCTTGCGACTGTCAACTTATATGTGTATTACAATATGTAGTGAGAATTTGATCATTTTACCTGATTTGATTTAGATCTAGTAGTTATCAAATCAAATATCCATTTATTATGAGTGTGTATTAGTAAACGTTCCTGAAGCTATTTTTACTTGATAATTGGTTAATATTTATGAGTAATTCATTACTTTTAGAGGAATGGATCATCTACCAAGTTGGATTGATACCGAGTCATTTCTATACTGTGTTGACTGAAAGAGATGCGAACGGTTTCTATCGACTGATATGGATCTCCGTAGTGTATATAATTACTACAGCCACGGTGAGTTTTGTAATATCTCTTTTAAAGTGTAAAACTATGCTAATTAGTTGATACTTTTGCTTCGATCGATAAGATTTAATCTGTAATAAGGATTTAATGTAATAAGTGTAGGTTCAAGGGTTACATATACAATACGCCATTACCCACCTTACAATACTTACAACGGTATTAACTTATGCCAGTAAAAACGAATAATATACAGATTTGCTAGTTACTATAACTAAACTGATTAGTTGAACATAGCAAAACTTGATGAATCGTTTAATGGTGTAGTTTGTTATGATAGTTCCTGAATATACTAGGGGATAATGTTTTGAAACGTAAGGCAATTATATTAGATACAAATTAGCTGCATACAGCTAATGCAATTTAGCTATCGCCTGAACACTTAATTAAAATTATATACGCGTATATCTACCCTTTTATGACAGGCTAAGGGTGCGAGGATTTATGTTTCACAAGTGCTATACGTCACCAGTCGTCGAATTTTAAGCTTGCAGTTACACAAGAAATATTTTGACGATGATTCTTATTATCAACTACATTTTCTGCATCCTGAAATTGATAATCCGTAAGTTAATAACTGATTTATTAAATTTAAATTGATAGTATAATACTTTTAAATATTACGGTAGTCTATAAATCTTTCAAATGCATACAACTTCATAGCGTAGTATGGACATGCTCATCTGATCCATACGCAACTTAATTTTGTAGCGATCAACGTATAAGTCAAGATGTAGACCGATTTTGTCAAAAAATGAGCACCATCATTCCGAAGATTATTGTTTCCGTATTTGTCATCTCTTATTACACGTATCAAACATACGTTAGGTAAATTTTGGATGCATTATACAATCTTATGCAGCCTTTATACAACCTTTCCAATTTATTACAACACTAATGACACTTAATATTGAATGATACCAAAAGTATGATATCTATGTTAAAAGTAAAATTGTTAACCTTTTCATTTACTTATAGTGCTGGATATACTGGACCTGTATCAATCTACACATATTTTATCGCTTGCGCAATCATCAATCGTTTCATTATCGCGAGATTAGTAAAAATAATTGTATTACAGGAGCAATGTGAAGGCGACTTCAGGTATAATCAATATGCATTTTATAATTTGCAAGTCAACCAATTAAAGTAACTACGTTATATGATATAAAATGATATAAGAAATAGTTATTTATTACTTTCACAGATACAGACATATGCTTATCAGATCAAATGCTGAATGTATCGCATTTAGCCAGTAAGTGCTTAGCGCAAAACCTATTTTAATTTAATTGTATTCGCTACAGTGACCCGTTTAAAATTTTAAGTTTTATTTCAAAATTCTCATAAAGTATTAATATATTAATTCTGCTTCATATCTACCATAATAGTGGAGGTTACACAGAAGGTGTAAAAACTAATAGCAAATTGCAGGTATTGTTTGTAGTGCATGTTCTACGATCTTATTTACTGTCTTGTATAGATTAACAAAATTATATCAACATCTAACTTTCTATAGAATCTGCTAGCTACGCAATATAAATTAGTGAATAAAGAATTAATACTTCACCGTAAGTATGCTAATTGTAATACCGTTTTTCTTTTATTAATTATGCATAATAGCTATCATTATCTCAAGGCGAGAGATTCTAATTTTAAGTTTGCTTGTGCAGTTTTTGTCAACCTGTTCGACTATCTTGGATCTATCATGAGCTACATGATCATAGGGTTTCCCATCATTAATGGAATGTATGATGGCGTGTCTGATATTAGTAGCATAATTAGTAAGGTATTGCTTTTTTACGGTTGCGGGGCAGTAGTATAGATTATACGATATAGAAGCTTGTCTTGAGCTTCTTTAATACATAGTAATTCAGGATATGTTATATTTACGTTGTGGTAAAAAATAGTATTTCCTTTTCCTTTTCAGAATTCGTTTTTTTCGTTGTATTTAATAAATTCCTTTTCGCAATTGATGGATTTATCAGCCGGTTTATCTGATTTAGCTGGATACACTCATCGGTAAGATTATCACTAAAAACTTGGCACGTTCTAGGATAGACTTGCACAATATTGGTGCAATACCTATTACTATTTTTACGAGCTTGCAACTCGTAATTAATAGGATCTATGGAATAATGACTTGTCTACAAAAATTAAAGTTCAAAGAAAAAAGAGAAAATCCTCAAACAAATAGGTAATGCGGAGGTGTTACGAATTGTTTCTGGTTAGGACTAATTTCATAATAACTTTTATAACCTATATTAGCAACGCTGAAAGAGTTGAAGATGATCACGAATTGCTGCTTGCTGCTGATAGCCTATCTAACAACTCAGAATTGGAATCCCTTAGCCTTAATTGTAACAATTTACAACCTGAAACGAGAATATCTGAAGATATTCATATCGGTACTAATGATGAATCTTTAACTGCATTCTTTATTAAAAGAATCAGCTACGTTGCACCTGGAGGCACCAACTACTTAGTAGAAGGTATCTAAATTTTACTAGTAGTTTAGATTACTATGAATTTCAACTTTCATGTTGTTACATGCAAATGTATCTAAGCAATTCTTCTGATTCTTTCCATATGGATACGTTTCTGTATGAAATAACGATAGATTTAAATCTACAAATTAAAGTGGGTGAAAATCTCCTTATTAATGGTGACACTGGTAATGTATATTTGGTAGTGATTAATTCTAAGATGGATATCTAATACAGGTACCCCGTGATACTACTGAACATATGACTCTGATAAGGAAACGTTCTATTTCCTAGGAACGGGTAAAAGTTCGCTATTGAGAATTCTCGCGGGGTTATGGCTTCCTTCAAAAGGTAAAAATTTACAAAATACTAAAAGATCTACGACCTTCTAATATAGTTACCAATTTTTTAATAATTAAATTTTATATCCCCCTAGGATCTATAATTCGCAATCCTTTTTATAATATCATGTTCGTACCTCAGAGAGCTTATCTGACAGATGGTAGTCTTAGACAACAAGTACTAATGAGTTCCATCCATATGATTATGATTAACCTTAGCCTTAATGGTTATGAAATAACCCATGATTAATTGTTTTGATAGATTATGTATCCGTTGAATGATATTTCCAATGGTAGTATTTTAAGAAATCAAGGTATTGCTAATTTTATGAACTAAAAAAGATTTATAGATTCTATTACAGTAGTGAGATCATATGATTTTTTAATCTTTATTTCAGTACCATCATTAATTGATGAATCGAGATTTTTAAGTGCTTTGGATCTAACCGGTTTGGTAAGCTTTCTTGTTTAGTGTATAATATGGAAAGTAGTTGAAATTGACAGTATTTGCTAGTAGTTGCTAACACTTGATTAATTCTATCGTAGTATCATATCGTGGAACGTACCGGTGGTTTGGATTCATTACCTTCTGCTAATTGGCTTGAAATATTATCTCCAGGAGAAGTTCAACGTTTGATGTTTGCTAGACTTTTTTATCATCAACCATCTATAGCAAGTAAATACTTTGGATTAATGGGAGAATCACATTCTGATTGTTTTTTTCAAACTTGAAGTAAAATTATATCCTTAATGTAGTTGTAGATGAAGCGACCAGTGCATTAGATATAGAGACGGAATCTCAGCTCTATGAAACTTGCAGGCAGTTAAACATTACCATGATTAGTGTTGGTCATCGATCAAACCTTAATAAGGTATGTTGGTACAGATAGGAACTGTTGTAGCTTCTTGTTATGTGTGTATATGTGTAAAAGTATCAATCAGCTAATATGAATTTGCATTACAGTTTCATTCTCGTCGGTTAAAACTGGATGAAAGTGGTTCGTGGACTGTTGAAGATATTTCACAAACTGTTGTTGAATAATAAAGTTAAATACGTTTTATTTGTTTTTAATAATATACTTTTACTGCTATGACGTGCAGTACGACTTTTATATCTATATTCTGATGTTACAAATTTTGTTAATAGCTGTTATTCAGCATTACTTATCGCCAAGCGTTTCCTCAAGTTTATGAAACGTTCATCCTAGAACTTATCATAATTTGTAAAGTTTATAAAACCAATTTTTATCATAGATCAGTATACAGGCAAGCTTAATTGCTGTAGCTTTTTAAGATACACGTATACAGTATTCACGAATATAAATTAGTTCAATCTTTTGTTATTTTTATTGTTATAAATGCTTCTATACTAGCATAGTCCAATTTCAATTGACAAAGGAGAATGATGAATAATAAACGCTTAAAGCTGGCCTTACGAGACACTTTTGGTATTGCGAATACTGGCATTTAATGAATAAAATATTACGATCCTTTTCTAATTCTGTACCATAACCTTGAGATTATTCTGTAAATAGTTGTATAATATCATTCATGGTATATAGATTTAATTCTTGATGATATTTCTTCTAGGAAATTATAGCTAAGAGACGACTTTATTTCGCTAACTATTTATCATTCCATATTATATTTTTCAGCTGTTAAATACGTGTTTTATGAGGATATAAAACTGCGACTATACGTGAATAAACTATATGTACAAACAATCGAGTAAATTAAATGATCGATTATGCGGGAATTTTGACGTCCAAGTTGTTTATAACGTAGCATCACGGGTAGAGTGCAGCAATTCCATTGGGCACGGGTACACTATAGTTGTGTATGACATTATCCACGTATCGTACAGTACAGAACTGTTGTAACTTCCAACTGCTACACTGGATACAGTACTACTAGTAAGTATAGTATGCTACGAGCATGACACTATAGTCTCATACATGACTTAAGGTACAGTGTAAAAACTGCTGCTGCAGTAGTGGAAGCCACTAATACAGTCATTATTGCACTATAACTTACGTATAGTACTCTGACTGCATTTCCAGCTTTCCTTCTTAGCTTATAAACAGTGAACTTAAGACCTGAAAGAGTTAAGAAAATATTGCTTTCCAAATCGGTAACTCTCATTTTTAGAGCTGCTAAAATGTTGAGACGTATTCCTACAGCTGTGCGTGTAGCCAACTGGACTAGAAGCTTAGCTACAGTCAGTAATAGTGGTGGAGATACCGTTCAGAAAACAAGCAAGTTTGATATTGTAATTGCTGGCGGAGGAATGGTCGGCTCTGCAATGGCTTGCAGCATAGGTTAGTTTCGACTCTTAAATGATAATAATAACTAAATTTGACGAGACATCAATAATCAAGGTAAATAATAACGATATAATTGGTAATGGTGATAATTATAATTATCTTACTACCTATGCTGGACTAGAATAATACGTATTTCAATATTGTTGTGCTTCACTTCAGCTATGCTTTATAAATCCGTTGTGTAGCAATCTGTATCAGAATCTCAGCTGAAAGGCCTTTCAATTTATAACCCCTGACATTTGAAAGGCAGACAATTATCGTGATTAAATTTCATCGTTTTATGCAAATAATGCATGCAAGCTAAAAGAACTGATTTGATCGTATGTATCAATCATTACTGTTTATTCCTTCGTTTGAAATGGAATGATTCTGAAAATATGTACACTTGCACAGTCAATATATGACCAAAACATTGGATAAGAACCTTTGGTTATTATAATTACGATTACATTTTTAACAATTTTATTATTACCGACGATTTGCTCTTCCTTTCTCTGAGTCTTCATATCTGCAATGCTGTGCTATATTTCGATATGGTACTATCTACTACTATACTTTGATGTGATAATATCATATTTGCTATGAAATCAATACAGGAAAGTTGTTGTAGCGACTTGCTCAGGTTACTGTGTTTTATGTTCCTGTAAAGAAACACAATTACCTAGATTGCTATACCTGAACATGCACACTGCACAGTCTTTGATTGTTCAAGATTTGCTTATGGTACTATCAACTGCACATCGATGCGATCCAGTATGTTGTTTACGATAATTATAATTCTAACCGATATACTGTAGGAAGATCACAGTGACAACTTGTATAAGTGGTTACTCTGTTTCATGTAGCTCACCGTTATCGCCTGCTTAGCAACTGTGGGAGAGAATAATACATATAAAATAGACAATATAGGACATTGCAGTCCTTGCATCAGAATCATAGGCTAATTTATCAACTTTTGGGATTGGTCAAAGCTGACTTTCTTGGAACGATTGCTTGCACACTATTGATATGGTCTAGATTTTCCTGAATACTATTTTTTAAGCCTCGACTTGTATTCTTGATTTAAAGCGCTATGACGTCCATTTCTGAGGTGCATAAACAGTATACTGTGCTCATTCCAGATACTGTATGACACAGCGACACCTGTACTGGTATTCTCCAATCTCGACTTGACTGTTATGGCTATATACAAGATGGTGACCATTATCCATCTTGAGATACTGGGAAAACAACTCTATTGACCTAATTAATCGTCTAAGTATTACTATCCAATTCACAGCTGTATATTGAATCATGAACTACTCGATACTATACCGAAGAATACAGCAGCATGTAGTCATCCATGATTGAATGATATACACCTTGTAAACGTTCTGTATCTAGACCTATTAACCTCTCTTATTATGTCTTATTAGGCTATAGTACGGCATCTTCTCTCTTTAGTAGTCCCTGTTAATAGGATACGAGTACAACACAGCTGTATATTGAATCTTGTATACGTTCTATAGGCACTTAGAGCGATTACCCTCTATAATATCCTATTAGGCTATAGTGTAGCATCTTACTAGGATGCTAGACAACTCCATTTCAGTTATCCATTAATTACGCGTATCGATCAATTATAATCAATCGAGAGCAAGATGACAATGTGTGATGTTATAAGTAGAAGAAGTGCACATGCATTATACAGTCTAGAGAGATTTGAAGATTATTTACTATATCGAAGCAAAGGTCGAAAATAATATCAACCATAGCAATGATTTTGAAATATGTACATAGACAGATACTCTCAGCCTTGGATAGCTACAAGCTATCACCCGTCTGATATAGCCTTATTGAACGATTCCTAAATTAACAGTTACTTATTTGATAACGGCGTACCGTGGCCCACACACGACATATAGCCTTATTTAACTATTCATGAACCGTTTCTTATTTAAATTGAACTCCATTTTGACCAAGACTAAAGCAATTTGCTGCTTGTCATCACTATATAGGGATTGAAAGCTACCATAGCTGCAAGTGAAATTGGACTCGCACTACAGTACAGTAGTTGACACCCGTTAGGGGATGGGTGATGAGAAATGACACTCTACTTATATATGATCCAGTGAATGACTCCAAGCTATGCTCAGGCTACAGCAGTGTTTACCATGACGTGCTTAGCTAGTGAGTTACTATGAATGACCTCCATAGTGATATTTTGTGAAGAACTTTGACTGCGTTAACCTTGCAAGAGTCATGGTAACCTCAGTGGACAATCTTCGTGCAAAATAGATGTCACCCATGGGTCAAGTAGTCTGTTGCGTAGTCATGTCATGGTACTGACGTAACATGACTGTATTTTTGCGTTTCAATTTGCTTTGCACTGTCGATGGTGATGGTTTGAGCGTCAAATTGAGATACTGTACTGCAGTAAATATCACCCATGGATCAAGCAGTCAGTGGCGTAGACATACTATAGTAGTGAAGTAAGACACTGTATTTTTGCTTTGCATTGGTAATGATTTAAATGGTCATGTCGCCCTACACTACAGCAGAGCACTGTAGGAGTCCCTTTCTTCCAAAAGCAAGACAAAATCGAAGGGACGACCTGGATAGGGCAGTGTACAGTGTAGAGTACAGTACTGTCCACTGTCCTTCTGTCTGTCTCTTTACGGTGCTATACACTAGTAGTCCTGTTCCACCAGACAGGTTCAATCAACCCCCGCCAAGCAATGTGACAGTATATGTGTCACGGTACTGTACTGTACACTATACACCAACGCCTGGCATCAGTATCATGTGCCAATGATGACGACAAGCACTCTTTGAAATCCCACCATTATCGGCCATCACTTTTGAATGATCGGAACATTGCAATACAAGCAATTATCTATTCAACTGTTGAAAGCAATCTAAATTAGAGCAGTCTGGATTCATGATCGATTTGGATGATGAAAAGTAAAATGAGATTAGAGTAGAAGATGGAGAAACAATAGAGAGTCAAGCAATATTGGGCAAGATTGCATGGGTGCTATGGAAAGCGTTGGATTCCACGCTTTGATACCATGAGTAAAAATGAGAGTTCCAATCCAATACTTCGTCAATTCAGGTCGGAAATGCGCTGTGTCCATTGCCGAGAGTGTCTATCGATGCAATCTAAATTCTATTAGGATGATATGGAATGTCGTCCAAAATAGAGTACGTCGTCAAAAACTGAAAAGTTTCCTAGTAACAATGATCATAGCCATTTTATGGAGTTTATCACGTACACTTAGTGCTAGCTCACAGATACAAAATAACCATTTACCCTTCAAGGCTACCACGTCGTCTCGCTTACAATCATTTCAAATTAGGCCTTCCGATATGAAAGTTTTTCGTGATCCTTCTGGCTATTCTGGTCTTTATGCTAGGCGATTCAAGGATAAAGAAAGAATAGCCCATGTCGATTTAAGTTCCATGCCCATCAAATCGCACTATCTTATTATGCTACTGCGTGAATTTCGCAAATTTAATATTACTGGCATTGTACTGGAATATGGCAACACTTTCCCTTATTATGGACGCTTACAATCGATTGTATCACCCTATGCCTATACCACGGCCGATATCCTCGCTATTACTGAAGCATGCCATCAATATCAACTCAAGGTTATTGTAATGCTACCCATGTTAGGCTCTTTTGATTACGTCTTAAAGAATGATCGCTTTCGACAATATCGCATGAATGGCGAGGATACTCGTAGTTTATGCATATGTTATCCACCATCATTGGCACTTGCTGAAGAGATCATTAAACAAATGCTCGATTTACATCGTCATAGCAATTATATTCATGTAGGAGGAATTGGAGGAAGTGACATAACAACATGCCGCTATTGTTCCAAGGATGAAATGAAATCTTCCATTTATGCTTCCTTCTTAAGTCCATTATTACATCGTTTAAAAGAGTATCGTTCACCCATTCAGATCATGTTGTGGGATGATGCACTACGTTCTTGGCCAACTGACCAACTTAGCCATATAGCAAAATGGGTTATACCTGTTGTTGGAGGTTTCTATCCTAATATCGAAGATCTAATTGATCCATTAACCTGGCAAAAATATGCTCAAGCTTTCCCTTCTGTTTGGATTGGTGGCACTTACAAAAGTATGCCCGATTGCTCAAATGATACTATTGTTGGCGTCGATCATATTAGCAATACGATATCTTGGATGCGAGTTGCTGGCAATCATTACCACCAAGTCAACTTTCAAGGGATCATTTTAGTCGGTCCAGCTTTTTCCACTACTACTGATCGCATATGTGAACTTTTGCCACATTGTGCACCTACGCTAGCCGTCTTAATGTGGGTCATGATTAGTGGAGGTTATAACATTGATCATAATCGTGATGTTTCATTATGCGTTACAAAATGTACTGATGCCATTAATATCGAAATCAAACCTGATTACGCAGTTGAAAGTTGCGATTATCATGGTGGTTCTATCAATCGATTAGTAACACAGTTGCAAATATTAAATTTAAAGGTGAATCAATTTCGTAAGCTCTATCAAAATGACACAATTCTACTCAACGCAAAGAAGGATCCACTCTATGCTTCTTTAGCTAAAGATAATGCTCGACAATTATCAACTATGATCAAATCTTTAAAAGATAATGCTCTCATACTATTAAGCGATGCATACCGTCAAAATGATATTGAGCGATGGATAGCACAAGCAATTCAACCATTATATGATGATATAAACAGCATGCAAAAACGGTTAACGTGAACAACAACTCATTTTTATCAAAATGACAACCTTCATGTAGTTGCCATATCGATGCTTGTATACTAACGTGGACGTTTAAAATGTTGTTATCATCGACCCAATTTCGAAATCTACTTTTCACCAATGGCGACATTAGGCTCAATTCACAAAATAGCCATCAAGCTGATAATAAGATTTGACTGAATCACTGTCTATGTACATTTACAATTATTAGATATTGTCGTTTCTTTTTTGTTTTGCTTGTAAATTATCAACTGGGGCATCGCCAACTGAAACTAGAATATCAAGTAATCATCACTAATTGTACAATTAAACGCTAATAAAGAGCAATTCAAAGCGTATATAGATATCGTATACGAATTTCTATATTTGTACGCCTACATTATCAAGAATGAATAAGATCAATTTCAATTATGACTATTGATAACATTGATCAAACATCAGTCACAATGGCTACTGAATTCTTGAACAGTAATTGCCGATATTGGTTTGGTAATAGATAATTTTTACTGCTATTTAAACAATTTGCTGAATCTAATCGCTTTCTCATTATCAACACAATAAAACTAGTTAATTATATCCCCAAAATTGGCGCAGTTCTTAATGCAGATCAAAGTTGTAAAGCTTGAGCACATCAAATTCGGATAGTGATTGATTGATAATTAATTAATTCCAGTTTTATCTGTAGAAATGTTAATGTACAAAAGTTGTACTTAGGTACATCGTAACTAAGGTTGGGTCGGTTCACCTAAATTTGACAATTTTTTATTATGATACATTGTTATCATCGTTTTCGTTTGGCTACTACTGTATTCATTTTTTCCATTCAAGCGGCAGAGAATAAATTAACTACTCTCGATAAAAACTAAATTAGGTATCAATTTTCATTATTCCTACTGTTGGCAATATTCAGCTAAGATTGGCTTTTTTCTTCGCTACCCATTAATTGTTTCATTGTTAACAATGAATCAAAATGCCTTAGTATTACTACCAAATAAATCGTTTCGGGGCTATAACTGCACTGCACTATTAGATTTACAAATAAGATTTTAAATTACATCATGTTAACACCCGACCGGCTGCTACGACTTTTTAGACTCAATGATTAAATCAAGCGCCTTGAGAACACGACAACTTACGTATCGATTCTAATTCTTAGAGAAAACGCAAACAACCAATTTAAAGATCTTTAAGAATAATACAAGATGTATGTATACTCGGAAAGGCTTCTCTTTTTTGACTTTACCTTCTGCACTTTAATAAAAAATTACCGTTACTACGGAGTTGACGAGATATTGCAACTGTCTAACGTTTAAAGTGATGTTGTAGCCTTGTAACATAACCCTAACATTGAATGAACGTGATACTATCACATATAGTATAGCCTAAAATGGAGTAATATAAATGAAGTAAAAAGACACCATTTCATAATTGACTTTACCTTAAAAAGCAATTTTTGAGTCGTTGATTTTGATCATTGTCAATCGTAATTAAGGTTTTACGCGTTGTAATTTAATGAAATACTAGCTCATCTCGCACTTAATGAAATACCAATCACTAAATGATGCTAAAAAGGGTAAAATACGAAAGGATTAAAAGAGTAGGAAGAAGTATTAAAGTAAAGTAAAGCGTTGTGCTATCCGCACATCGAAAATCTATCAGAGTACCTTGCAATTTGTAGATATTATGATTTTATAGAACAGGATTATTGACTGCATTTGCAAGTAACACCGATAGCCCGGCCCTACCCTGTCTTATATCTAAAAATCCGATAATGTCTTAATAGAACATTAAGAAAAGCAAGTTAGCTCTGCAACAATCCAGATAACTTTTAAATTATATGCTACTCTTGTTCTACATGACATAGGCTTTAATTGTAATGCTTTTGTACTATACGAAATTACTTACGTTTAATGAGAATTTAAAAATAGATTACTTAAAAGGATTCAACTTAACAGGGATAGGTTGTATCGATTTAACTTATTTAGACATGAATTTACGAGATAAGTTAAAAGAATTCAACGAAATTGTCTAGCGAAATGAATACTTAAAAAACTATAAAATAAAAAGTTTACAAAAATTTTTGTACTGATGAGATCGAGAATCTGATCGGATCATGAAAAAGTATGAGTATTAATGAAATATTTTTATGCCCTGTTTATTAATTTTAACAGAATGAGATGTTCAAAGATCTTCTATTACGTTTATCAAGTTTTCAATACACACAAATTTATCTTTCTTAATTATTGAATTGTGTTGTTGAATGCATCTGAGAACAATTCACGATAGACAACTGCAGTTACTATTTCTTCCGTGTTAATTCTTTGAATTAGGTAGTAATCCAATCTTTGGTGAATACAAAATCGCATTATTAGAGCCCAATCCAGTTAAGACAATGGCAATCCAAGCCGACTTTAGTAACCGTGTTAGTGCAATTATTCCAGGATCTATCAATGTTCTTGATGGTAAATTGAAAATATATCCAATTGTAATAAAACACAGCATAGCGTTCTTCATTTTAATGTAAATCTTTTCCAATTATTGTAATTTTTCGGCAGACATTGGAGTATGGCCATACATCAGTGAGTTGCGAGCTAAATTATTTCAGTCCATGCAGGTATAGAGCAATTGATGAAATTATTGCAACTTTTTGATTACTTACGCTGCTATGCTATATGCGTATTTAGCTGTACGTTGTGCTGAAAGTAATATTACGTCATTCAGTCACAGTTATTTCTTTATAAATTTCAACAGTTTAGATACTACTTTTAACGGCAGATGGTAATAATAATAACGAAGATTATACAAGAAACTAAAATTAATTCATGCTTTATTCATTCTTTTATCATAACATTGATTCAGTGAAAGCGTAGCTTTATCTATACTCCTATCGTTTAAGGTATGGGATGCCGCAAGTGACCACAGTTTTTTATTACTGGATTCAAAATTTACTGATGAAAAGATGGGCTACGTCGTCGAAAATGATGTCATTATGTTAGCTTTGATGAAGCGGTTGAAATTACTAGATTCTAATGTCGAAATCCTTCACTGCAAAGTTGACGACATCAGCTTACAGATTAGTAATGGTGATATAGGCAACGTGTCAATAAAGCTCGATAACGATGATCTAATCGAAACCAGATTATTGGTAGCAATTACATACTAGTTTAGGAATTCATATTGAAATTAATTCATAAGTTAAAACACATTTAAAACCTATGCTAACATTTTTTATTTAAAATCAATGAACAAGATCGGTGCCGATGGACCTCAATCATCTATACGCACTGCTGCTAATATTAAACATATTTCATTGCCATATAATCAACTTGCAATTGTGGCAACTTTACAACTAGAGAATGTATGAACTGCATAAAATTCTATTAAATCGATATATAGAAATTTAAAACAATGTAATCTTGTGTGACTGTTTTCAAATTTTTATTTGTAAAGCAAAACGAGAATGTCGTGGCGTGGCAACGGTTTTTACCAGACGGTCCCATAGCATTATTGCCCGTACTGAATCATTATTATACTTTCAATTTATTTTGAGCTTACATGGTCGATAATTTACTGATGATTTCTACCTTGTAGCTCTCTAATTCTAGGAGCTCCTTGGTATGGACAACTAACCCAAAACATGGAAAAATGTTACTAGAAATGTCAAATGAAGAATTTATAGATTCTGTAAATAATGCTTTCGTAAGTTACAAAACAACGTTGAATTGTATCGAAATGCATATTTCCTAAGTTGAAAACGGGTATTACAAGTACTAGTTGATTTCACTACAGATTCATTTGTACTACTTGCAGGTAAATAATGACCATGTGATTCCTAACATCAACAGAATTAGCTCTACAATAAATCGTGGGCTTAATAGCATACCAAGCGGTAACATATATTCATAAGTGTAGTTCAATTGTCATAATAAGAATTCCGGTATAGTCGTTAAAGCAATAAATTTTAAGAAATCTGTAAGAAATTCAACTAACACAATATATATCATATTCATATAGGAAACTTTAAAGAAGCTCCTCAAAGTCCTCCAACTGTTGCTGGTATCGATAATAATAGTCGTGGCGGCTTTCCTTTATCACTGGGCCATGCAACCAATTACGTTATGAACAGACTTGCGCTAATAGGGTAAGTTATTTAATCAATTTTTTTAATTAAATTTCAAATTCTTGTAGTGGTGGCTTAATATCATTTCAAAAGGCTAAATAATATTAATATATTAGTCACAATTTCATAGATTAAATATCGTGTCGCCTGTCTAGTTGTAATCGCAGATTCTGCTTGATATGTATGATGTTGTAAGACCTTTATCAAATGCTGGCTTCTAATTGTAGAGATGCAGCTCATCGAGTTCATCCATTAGCTGGCCAAGGGGTTAATTTAGGTTTTAAAGATGTTGAAGTGTTATCGAAAGTTTTAGCTGAAGCTGTTACAGAAGGCAATGATATCGGTATATTATGATACAGGAAATTATGCTATGCGTTATTCTTTATGAAAGTGTTTCCTTTTATAATAATTTATGTAATTATATCTACTTTAGGTGCATTACCTCATCTACTTAAATATGAAAGCACAAGGCAGTTACAGGTTCTACCAATCATGGCAACGATAGATAACCTGAACAGACTTTTTTCCAATAAAAATGCATCACTTGCTTTGGCTAGAGGAATAGGCTTTCAATTTCTAAATTATCTTACACCTTTGAAGGTAATATGTCACGTAATTCCATTATACTAATTGTGCTTGATATTTTAATGATCGCCTTCAGAAAGTTCTCAAATAGTTTGTAAATCATTAGCACAGATTAAGTTTAAGATCTAATATGATCACTAATACAGTATTTGAGGTAATCATGTACACATACTGTATTGCGAAAAAGTAGCATACGAATTTTTGGAGGCATGTAAGTTAAAAAATGATCTTACTATTATCCTTGCATATTAGAGTCAAACTAGTAGATTACTCTATTTTTAACCAGCACTATAATAATGCTAATATTATCATTACTTATGAGATTACTTTCTTAATTGTTAACTACATTATAAAAATCTAAAAAAATTTTATTTCTTTATTGTAGACACAATTAGTAAAATTGGCTATGGGTTGAACTCACTGGGAGCATGTTTACTTGTAAAGCTATCATCTTCATTTATCATGTCTGAAAAATATCTGTACATGGATGGACAATGAATATAAAAGTTTTTTATTTACAATATATAAAAATTTCTAGACATCTATTTTACTGTGCTTATGATATCAAATAAGAAACGTTCAACTCTGCTACTAAACATAATGCGTTTATATTTCCTATACAATTTATTGCCGATGGAAGCTCCTTAAAATTATCGATAGCGTACTATTTGATATTAAATGATTTATAAAGAAAGCATTGACATTATCAATGACTTCAACCTTGTTCACTCTTTAGCGTAGACAAATTTTAGTTTTAGTTCGCGTCATGGCCATTATCAAATATTCATATGCCAATAAATTTTGTGGGTTAAAGTCGATTTGGGCTCGCAATTAAGATATTACTATGAGTTCTTTAATAACCATTAAAGAGATCCTATCAATGCACTGTAAAATTTTAGCGCTCGTAAACGATTGTCCAAGGCAACTTACTCTATTTACTCTAGTTATTCGCTAACTATATACAATGGTAAATATAAAGTTCTCGATATGAAAGTTACGTATAGTATGCTTTTGCTAACATTTTGAGACATCGCTGTAGACACTGGTCGATGGCAACTTAGTAAGAAGCGATAGCTAACTGATATGAAGTTATATCTATGATAATACAAATAAAGACCTAAATTTCTTAAATCAGTGGCGATCTTACAGATATTTCACTACCACTATCACACTATTTTGTGCTATGTTTTATAGCAAAATCTTAAGATTTCTGCAGGTTATTAGTTCTATTTCTGCAATAAAAGTAAAAAATTTGATATTCATATACGGTCATGTCGCTTGATAACATGATTTCGATCTAACCCAATAAACAATGTTTGTGATCGATTGCCTCTAATTAACCGGCAAGCAATGCACTAAAATTGTACGGGTGTTGAACAATTAATAATAAGCAAAGTGAAACTCGATCATAAAGTAGATTTTTTATATCTAATAATAACTAAGAAATGATTTTACCATAAATTTTCTCCATATCGGTCGTAAATATAAGATTAAAATAATATTCTATTATCTTGATGACATCTCATAGAAAGTTGACACTGTAAATTTAAGACCTAGCAGTATGTAGATGAAGTAGTTAGGTACATTAACCAAAAATATCATGATCGAATTATGACTCCATTCGTTACCGTAGAATCTTTGCCCTTCTCAATTAATAAGCATGAATTTCTTTCCGGACAGTATTTAACCTTTATGTTTGATCTATTGTATGTAGTCTACAATTGCATAGTTAACATTCAATACGACAAAAATACGTATACCGAACAACGGTTTCAGTAATTATTAAAACAAGGCTGTAAACAATCAACTAAATTATCAGAGGATACAACACATTACATTGAAGATAATACTCCTCAATAATGGAAGTCAGAATAGCCAAAAGCTTAGATCTTCACTTACCTTCTATTTTATCATCTATGGCTTTCTATCAGACCTTAAGCATTACCAACATTGATACGCAAACTGATTGCGTTCTGAAGATGGAAGATAATGAAATTGCAGATCGATTAAACAAGTCCATAGTATGTCAGCTTCTATTTAATAGTTTATTTATTTCCGCATGAAACTCATCATACGGTCCATGATTTATGCTTATCATGTTTACATACTAATTCAACTGTAATAGATTTAATCGTATTACAAATTATACTCAGTCATTAATACAGGATTAAGTATCATCCGCGCAAGGTTCTTAACTCTAGTAACTATTATGTATCCAGCTGAAGTACAGTTTTCAAGAACATAGAATTAGGCCAACAAAATAATCTCCACTTTATTCAGTGCTAGCTTCTTGTATAGTTTTCGGATCGGATTCGGATTTTATGTAGCGCTTTCAATCGGATTAAATGTTTAGTCGTAGTGGGGTTACAATACACTACTGTACCGTACAGTCGAAGTAATACAGTACCGTGCCGTACTGAACCTGGTAACCCATCACCATACAGTATATTGGTATACAAGTTACTGTTACGTTGCTATTTCTTACATCACATCCCTCATCATGTGCGTTATAATATCTCCTAATAACATCTTATCTTTAACAGTATCCCTACACATAACAGTAACATTGTTTACAAACGAGTACAATTTCCTAATGGACATATGTTTTTGAGAGAAAATACCAGTAATATGACGCAATCATAAGTAAAATAGGGTTAAGCAGAAAATTCTGTCGTTGAATGGCGTTTTGAATACTACGCTATATCTGCTGATTCAGGGCAGTAGTTCAAATGTACCGTATCAATTAATAGCAACGAGATGAGATAACAATTAATGATATCATTGCAATTCAGTTTTATTCCTTAACTCTAACGTACGTACCTGATAAAGGTTTTGGAAATTATTCTATATTATGAGAGGTAGAATTTGGATAGCATCATGTCTGACAAAAATTAGTAACAGACTGTTAAAATGCTGTTTATCAGAATGATACGTGAAAAATTGATGTGTGATTACAAGTTAACTGCAAGCACTATAGAGTATCCATATTTGTAGTGGGTTGGTCATTCAGCTATCGTATTACGAAGTACCGTTGATAGCATTTCATGACATATATAATAACATTTGCGCTGTATAGTGCAAAACATGTATCACTTAATGTTCAAAAGCTGCAAATTTTTGCTCGTAAAATAAGATTGTATAACATAATACATGATGTTAATATTGCAAAAAAATAACTGCTACTTGTAGCATCGAGCTCTATAGCTGCACTTTACAGACTTTTTAATTATCATTTATGAATTACTAATTAAGCAACGTTATAATCATCCCATTATAGTCTATGTATACTTGATAGCCTAGAGCTAATTTAAACGTAAACTGGCATTAATTATATATAATTAGAATCTGAGTACAATGTTATGATATTATATATATATATACAGTACACCGTGGTTATCACATCCCATTTTTCATGAGCTGACCTTCTTAATCTTACTGGTTCTTTTCTTCTAAGAAGAATAAAACGGATTAATTGCCTCAGGTGATTAATATTTGATAATCCTTTATACTACGCAAATCAGCTAGCTAGCGGGAGCAGCTTTTGCCAGTTACAACTATACTACACAACCGCCATAACGTGACTAATTAATCACCTGCATCAACAATAGAAGTGCCAAGTTGAACAAAATTAAATTATATCAATAGCTGTTATATGGTACTCGTATTGTTGTGATAATTACAAATTGAATTGGCAGAGCGTAAGTAAATACAGCATCGACCGGTTTAACTTGTTGTCATTGTTATTATTCTACCGGAAATGGTTAATGTTCATCATAATTTTTAATTTAGCCAGTCTCCGTATTTTATTTCTATTCATTGCTCACTATGTCTACTTGAAGTTCTATTAAAAAAAAGTGGAGAATACCAAGACCAGCTATAGCAAGGGCTCACGTTTACTAATAAATACTTTTGAATCAATTTGTGCATACTACTGTAATATAAAATTGTACAGCTCGCTTTTAATTCAACCATTGAGGTTATTTCAACATTGCTAACAGTTCTTAAATCCCCATAATAAGCTTTATTTAGAATTTACCCGTGCTATCACACGGTCTAGGATAATTTACCGCTGTACGATGTACATAGTGCAGTAGTAGTATAGGATGGAAACAATATCAATATAGATTTGATATTACAAGGATGAATTGAATACATTGCAGCACTCAATCTTATACAGCATAAAATTAATCGAATGAAGTAAAAATCTGTTTTGATATTACGAGGGCGAATTGAATACTTTACAGCGTAAAATTGATTTAATGCGGTAGATTATCCGGTTTCGGCTATCACAGTCATAGTACGAAGAGTGATAAAAATTGCAAATAATAAAAATTAACTATTATAACTCTATAAAAGGCATACTGAATTAATCGTTATCCTATACTTAATTTAAAACTAATCTATTTTAATTGTACCTTCAATCCATTCACTTCAACTGTTACAGCGCTACATTCCTTCGAATTCATCAACAACTGCTTTTCGACACAATTTCCATAAAGCAATAATTAACAAATGCATATGTTCAACAAAGTGGAAGGTGAATAGATTCTTTAGGGCCTGTGTTAAATATATCCTAGTAAAACTAATTCTAGTGCTGTAGACAGCTAGTTAATATGAAGAGTGCATTTTATTCCGATGGTTACAATTATCCACTTTCTATCGCATGTTAATAGGAAATAGTAGTAATAGCTATCCCTACGATAATGCTAAAGGCAAAATGATTGGATAATGCCAATCCATTATCGATTTTTTTCACTAGATAACATCAGTAAAGTTATGCATTTTTAGTTTCTCTTCAATTGCTCTCATACGTGCGCAGCTTCATCCCAATCGACAAAACAACCTTCTAAATGACGATTACCTTCGTTGCTTTATAAGCAGATCTACCATGTAGACCTCGCCAATTATTAAACACTACCATGTCTCCAGACTCTATCCTCTTAGTGACTAAATTGCTTGGATCATACATTATTTTCACAATGGTACGGAATGCTCGGTTAACTTTATCTTCAGGTACATCCAATATGGAACTCCTTGTGTGATTATTATGTACGAAGCGAATAACTTCACTACGGCCGTTTAATCTACGTGATAAATAAAATCACATTTAACTTTATTAAAATAATCTACATATGTCATCGATTGCGTGCAGCCTACAATGAAAAGTCTTTTGCATAGACCGTGAACCAAGGTAGCATCCCTTGAACGCAATGCAAACAGACAAAAATAGCATATCGTATTACTTACATTATAAGAGGATGATGACTAAGCTGGTTATCACTCGATATAATCATTCACGATATCGAAGAAAATAAATTCATATTGTATCAGTAATTCAAAAAAGTATGGATTCTCTTTCTTTAGCACTTTCGCAACGTGGAAGCCATCAACGAATTCGCTTTCCCCTCCACCAGCTGAAGCTTGTTGAATGCAATGCAGGAACTGAATCTAGATTTTTAAATATAGATGGATAAATAGATATTATGACCATTAGGTACGTAGTGCAATATTTAACATAAAATCATTGCAGAAGCAACGTCAAAATGATCCATTTCTACGACATGAAGTATGGTAGATCGGTATGCAAAGCCAGACCTGTGTCAGTCAAGGAAATGTTGCTCGGATCATCCTTAGACTTTACCGTGGAAATCCTCCTATCCGAAATGAAATTACTCAAGTTTGCAATGGCGCTACAAGAATCTTAATGAATTCTTAGGACTGTTGGTAACCGACATGTGTCGTGTATAGTAATTTAGTAAACTTCAATATCTCTATAGTACGACACTGCTATGATACAAAACGATCCATTACTGTTACAGGTAGAATCCTATAAAAGGAAAGTCCGAAGACTTTTTCGGCATTGGCTACACGATCAATCGATTACTCTGCTAATGCACTGTATGTACATTGTACAGTTCAAGCTTCAATAAAGTCAATTATTAACTCGTAGCATAGTGCGAGCTGCATCTTATGCAAAGTGTCACGGGCCAACCTCAAGATCCACCACAGTAACATCGCCTGCCTAGACAAGTTCTATTATTATATATAATTATCGTACTGATATTTAAAATGAAAAATTCAAAATAAACCTTTTGCTATGTAGGACTGTAGCTTTCGATTATGCAAATTGGATAGATACTCTAAAGTAACACGTCCTATTCAGATGATATCCTCATCACTAAATACGTAAATCAATCTAGATTTTAGAGTAATTGACCAACGCTCTAATCTTACCCGTAATTGCTCACTCTCAAATAGGCAATTCTATTGGCTAGGCGTTCTACTTGTCCTAGTTCTGGAGATACATTCTTAACCAGTACTAAGGCAACTGTGGCTATATATTCTGCAACCACCTGTATATAATGCAAGATCATCACGAAGGATTTCATCAAATTCAAAAGTTGGTATATTGCCATTCATTTCACTACCCCACAGTCGGTGATTTGAATTTGAGCAAACTACTTTATTGCCCACTTGGTCGTCACTGGTAGGAAACCGTCTCGTTTTCAACCAATTTGTATCAAATACACTGACATGATTATCTATTTCCCATATCATCTCGATTTCTTGACGATCGCGACGTAACTCGGCCCATGACGCTCTTGTCTCAGCATCGTAGGCCGGGAAAACATTGGTATCTCCGATATTGCGTTGTTTTGGAGACGGATGGAAACAGTTTGGGCATTGACAATGATCACGAAGGTAAATATGCGGGAAACGACTGCTTGTTCCATCATCCCATTTGACATGTAATTGGCGATTACTGATATCGTTTTCAATAGCAACAGAATTGAAAACGACCAATTTTTTCCTAAAAGCAAGTGGAACGATCGTACGTGACCGAGTTAAAGTTTGTTTGGATTGGAAGAGCTGTTCCAAAGGGCGAATTAATCTTATCCCGAGACGATGCATAGCTTATCTTGGTGCGATGGCCTCAAAACAACAGTGAAAAAATTGATTCAAGGTACTGACGGACCGCGATAGCAATAGACAGGGACCAAAATATGGGCTTCATTTTCTCCATTTTAGCCACGAAGCAATATAGTAAACAGTACTGCCACTGTTACTTTTTGCTCGCTTTCTTTCTCTTTGGTTTTTCTTACTTGATTAGTTCAGCATTATTGTTATTTTTTCTTTTTTTATTATTTACTGTACAGTACAGTACAGTGTGCATTGTCCTGTCTATGCAGTACTGTATTGTATTGAGTAACTAACTCTTACTGTAGAAGTCCCGTCGCGATCTAGTAATACTGATATTTTATTAAAGGAGTGGATGAGTATTCTCCTATGGTCTACTGTACTGTACAGTGTACAATGTAAAGCAGTAGGTAATGGAGGGTGTGAGCCAGTTCTCTTTAGAGTGCTATTAGGCAAAATAAATTGGAGTTAAAGCTGCAAAATTTGCCTCCAATTTTAGAGAGACAATACAGATATATAGTTTGTAGATGAAGGAATACGTGCTGTACACTTGTACAATGTACACTGTATTCGATATGGTGAAACTAGATAAGATGTCAGTGCGTACACTGTACAGTACAGTATTAATTTACCGAGCGTAGTGATTGGCAGTAAAACGGTAGCTTTGCAAATTTAATTTGTTTAATTTGTTTTATTTGTTTTAATTCAAGCCTGTTTTCATTCAACTCTTAAAGTATTCTTACTGTCCAAGTGTCCATGCGGATAAAAGACGTCGTATTGAGTTATCAATCATTGGATTCAATTACGCGGGAGTCCATTGTTTGGAGTTAATATTATCATACAGACCCATCCGTACTCTACTGTATACAGTACATTGTACTGTACAGTACAATACGTACAGCTCCCCTTGGTGAATTAATTCCAATTCAAATACTGTACTGTTCAGTATGGGGAAAATGGACATTGACTACTACTGTACTATGGGGCGTGTACACTGTACACGCCCCCCATAACTAGCGCAGTATTGTACCGTAGACTCATACACTAGCCCACGGTGCAATGCTGTACCTGGGACCAGTTTTACGGCAAATTGTTGCAGCTCGTGGTTGAAAGATGTTCGCCTATTGGGCTACCTTAAATTACAGTATGTCTTTCAATTGTCAACAAATGATCTTTCAATTTGGCTCTAATTCCGTGCAGACAGCTCGGTACAACCTTGAGCAATGGGCTCTTGATATTTTGATGACTTTTTATCGCAGTATTGAATAGTTCTATTTCTTTCAAGTTTCCGATACAAACTATCAGTCGATGTTACATGTTCGGTCGCTCACTATAATGGGGCCAATGACTCTTAGGATAGGTTAAATGCTATAAATTAATGAAATCCAATGGCTGCCGTCATGTAATGACACTGTTGTAAGGCTCATAAAGGATGATAATGTCTTTTATTAATATCCTTAAAATAAAAGGGGATATGGACGGGACTGAGTTTATGACTACGATCAACCATGGTTCATGGACTACTGGAAGGGCCAGGCTTTATCTAGTAGTCCATGGATTTACATAGTAGAGGTGTATATATATAGATGCTGCGTAGATATATATTCGTAGATTGACTCATGTCTTAGCTTTGTAACATAATGTGCAGTATGTTCAATCACATTCTGTTAGGACTTCGCATATTCCACGCGACATATCTGCCTCATATACTGTACTTTACTGTCGAGAATGGGTACGTGTACAAATACGTACGAGTACTCGTATAATGCCTAGAATGCAAGATAGCTCATTACATAGTGAGTGCATCCTGCAAAAGGAAGAATTCTCTCTTACGAGCCGCTGGTTTAACTGCAAAGTGCTTACAGGTCGTTCAAGTCGTCAATCACACTGTAGGCGCAGAGTATGGTACTGTAAATATTCTACTACGCCATACAGTACAACTGAATCCTTACCACGATGGCCCTTACTTTGGAGTTTGGACTCATCCAAGTTTACCAGTTACCGTTCCCTTTATTCAGTATATCATCATTGTAAAGTTTGACTCAGCAGTGTCGATAGAAAATAGAAAAAAGGCCCACCCTAGTCCTTGTAATGCAAACTACTACTACTACTACTGTACATCAACTTATACTGTGCAGTGTACAGTAGATACTTATGACATTAGTCAAATCCTTTCGGCTTTATGATGATAAATGAAATGATGCAAATCCTGTTCTTTATTGTCGGAGAAAAAAATTGCCAGAATACAACTTAAATCTCACGCGTAGCAGTTATTTAATACCCCCTTCCGTATATAAGTTATCTACAAAGGATTTATTTCTAATGAAGTCAATTATCAGCTATTTAAAATATAAAATATCAGTGCATTGTGGAACGTCTTGATGATAGGCCATTTAAAGTTCAAGATATGATATATTACATAAGGGCTAACTAACGGTGAATTCGGCGCAACAACTGTAAAAATAAATGTAATAATTGTTATGTATTAAGCAACGATAACAAACTACTATATATAGAACTGGACTACTAAATGTTCCCCGGGAAACATTTAGTAGTCCAGTTTCATATATAGTAGTCCATGATTACACCAATATATAAATATTTTGCAACATTGGTAATTGTGTTGCAGTAGCAAAATGGCCATTTGTACATTTTTATTATAAAATTCCTTTAATTCCTATTTTAACATTGAACTACTGATATGTGCTACCTTAGAACCTAGCAGTAACAGTACTTACGTAGTAAGATGTAATTAATTATTCGCTGTGTTGCCGGCAAGATACGATGACGACGTGGTATTCTAATTCCATGAAACTTTAATTAATAACGCATGCAAGCATTCAATATTTTAAACTAGTGCCATTGAGTAGATCAAGGTGTTTGTCTATATCTTGCAGATACTCTAGCAGTTTTATTGTAATATAATGCAGTTTACAGTAAATTCAATTTTTTTCAAAACTAGTTGGATTTATTTTCGTAGATTCCGGTAAATTGACCTTAAGGTATTGCATACGCCGTATGTGGTCAAAAAATTTAAAATGTTGTAGAATCACATGCACGGTGCATTCCTCTGTGATTCTTGACCATTATAATAGATACTAGAAAAATACCGGTATTTTTTTCTTGTAATCTATGGTCTTGACTAATTACCTCCAGTATACCTATCTGTGCACGTTGCTAATATTTGCAATTTCACACTCATTGAAATACAGTATAGTTATGCTTATATTGATCTTGTTCAGTTACAGCAATTTCTCCGTCATGTATCGAGTTCGTGTGGCAATATGATGATGTGAGTAAATCAAAAAAGGAAACTTTAAAACTCGATCACTGTCTAGGAATCATACACACACTAATTAATATGCTACACTACAGGATGTGGAATATATAATAATTTGCATAATTCGCGCGGAACGCACGAGCATGCGACGATACCACTAGCCCTGTAAAGAATCTAACGTACAAATTAGCGACTAGTTTATCACTCAAAACACTCTTTTCTACTCATAATCATCTTCAATCTACATATATGTATCAAATTCAAGCTTTAATAGAATAAATCTCAGTGACAAATTACAGCAAATAACTATAAATTCCTGCAGTACAGGTACAATTGAATTGGCTACAATGTTAAAAGGAACAACGCTTACGTACATTCCATATGGTAAAAGATAAATTTATCGTCGATGTCTAAATTAATACAAATGTATGGCAATAAAATTATCATGAATGATCAGTTAACACAAGAGATGAAATGCATATTAATATACTAAAGAACTAGTAAGTAAAGTGCTTTTATTCAAACGGTAAAATCTTCCACTTCCTATTGAACTACATTTTAAGCCAAGTGCATAACCGTCCCTACGAAGCAGGTAATAGTACAGAACTATTTATTCATATTTCCGTCATTTAAATAACACCAGTAAAGTTTTGCATTTTTTGTTTCTCTTCAATTGCTCTCATGCGTGACGTGGTCTCATCCCAATCGATGAAGCAACCTTCTAAATGACGATTACCTCCGGCTGTTAGCTGAAAGGGTGATCTACCGTGTAAAACTCGCCAATTATCAAATACTACCATCTCTCCAGATTCCATCTTGTTAGTGACTAAATTGCTTTGATCATACATTATGTGTACAATTGCACGGAATGCCCGGTAGATATCAGTTACTTTATCTTCAGGTACATCCAGTATGGAACTTCTTGCATGGTTATTATGCACGAAACGAATGACTTCATTACGGCTATTTAATCTATATGATCAATTGATAAAATGAAGCTTAGTTTCATTGAAATAAGAATATTGTCCATTATCAGTCATAAACGAGAATAAATTCATTATACCGTATACCCTCCAAAATCTTTCCATCTTTTGTTCAGATATCGTCGAGGGAACATCCCACGAATGTAATGCAACTAGATAAACTTAACAAGCCATATTACTTACGTTATAAGAGGATGATGATTGAGCTGATTATACTCGACATAATCATTTCCGATATCGAAGAAAACAAATGCATGTTGTGTAAGTAGGTCAAAATAGTATGGATTTTCTTTCCTTAACACTTCAGCAACATTGAAGCCATCAACGAATTGATTTTCACCTCCTCCACCAGCAGCTTGCTGAACACAGTGAAGGAACTGAATCTAAATTTTAGAAAAAACACCTCTTAATTTGTATGTTTAGCAGCTACTGTATATAAGTAACCTAATAAAACGCAACACTACATAGTCATGATAAAAACGATCTATTTGTATAACGAAAGTAAATACGGTATCTCACCCCAGGAACCAAGTCGAAGTATGGTAGATCAGTATGCAAAGCCAGGCCTTTATCCGTAAAAGCCAAATTGCTAGGATCAAGCTTCGATTTTACGGTGAAAGTTCGCCTATCCAAAACAACATGACGTTAATATGGTCCTTATCATAGCCTTAAAGGTTTATTAATAATCGCTGTATGGAACTATAGCTTTCATCTGTATAAATTTGGTAGACATTACAAAATCCTGTATCGCATTGAGATCACTTTCTTATAAATAAACCCCCAAATTTCAACAATTTACCAAAATCTTAGTCTTACCCGTAATTAGTAACTCTCAAATAGGCAATTCTATCTGCTAGGCGTTCTACTTGTCCTACTTCTTTAGGTACATTCTTAACCAACGTTAAGCCAACTCTAGCTAGATTTTTCAGCCATTTGTATAGCGCAAGATCGTCATGGAGAATTTCATTAAAATCCGTAGTTGGTATATCGCCATTTAAATCACCACCCCACAATCGACGATCTGAATAAACTATTTTATGACCCACTTGGTCACGATCGGTAGGAAATCGTCTCATTTTTAACCAATTTGTATCAAATACACTCACATGATTATCTTTATCCCATTTAATCTCAATTTCTTGACGATCGGGATGGAGTTGAGCTTGTGATGCTTTGGTATCAACATCGTAGGCATCGAGAACACTGGTGTCGCTGATATTGCGTTGTTTTGCTGACGGATGGAAGCAGTTTGGGCATTGGCAATTGTCACGGAGGTAAATATGCGGGAAACGGCTGGTTGTTCCATCATCCCATTTGACATGCAATTGGCGATTATCGATATCGTTTTCCACAGCGACAGAGTTAAACGCGACCAATTCCTTCCTAAAAGCAAGAGGAGAGATTGGACTTGATCGACTTAGGCTCTGTTTGGATTGGAAGAGTTGTTGCAAAGGGCGGACTAATCTTTTCCCGAGGCGATGCATATTCTTATCTTAGCAACAGACGTAAGTGAAGATAATGTGCTGCAACTTGTTTTTGGAAGTGTATTTATACACTTCCAAATTAACCGATGGGGGCGTCAAAGCAACGCCAACTGCAAAAAGGTACACAACAACATTGTTGTACAGTGTACAGTGCAATACCGCTCGCTACATTTGAGTGTCGCCAAAGCAAGATTCATACTGTAACTCAGCAAGTACACAAAAGACGAGTTCTACTGTTATTATTATTGCAACAAAAGAAAAAAACTTTTGAATATTGTAACCTCGAAAAGGTCAGCTTCAAGGTCTATTTGTTAGGCCTAAATAAACAAAGAAATGATTAATGACTGGATAGTACAGTAGCGGACACTGGATTACTGTACAGTACCAATTAACTTAGTATTGCATGATTGGAGGGGAAACTACCTGAAATCCCCCTAGCGCTGCATTATGGGCCTACTAAATTACCGGTAATTTACTGGAGTGGCAAGCCAACATACAGTACATTGAACGTCCAATACAGTACAGTACTTGTACTATCCAGGTGGAGTACTGTACGTACTCTACTGATCTACTGTACAGTATACTGTACAGTACAGTACTGCACGACTTGTACACTTGACAGCCCTACAGTACATTGGACACTAGCATACAGTACAGTGATGGGGCGTCGCGCCACAAACAGGAAATACCGGTACTACAGTCCTGTACAGTACTGCCATTGCTGTATACAGTACATTGTATTGTAGTCTACAAATTCAAGAAAAAAGCTTTTCTTTTTACAGTACTGTACACTCAGTACAGTACTGTATGCTACTAGCCAATCAGCAGGAGTAAAAAACCTGATTAAAACTGCTGCCAACTACGCAGGTACAGTGGCAACAGCGAAATAAATAAACGATTGATTATTTATTCCTTGGCTTGCAATCTCGATCAGCTGCTCCTCCTTTGCAAATAATCAACTATTCACATCATTATACTATACAGTATCGTTATCATCGCTTTCATCACTACAGTAACTAACATAGGCATGCATCGTCTCGGGAAAAGATTAGTCCGCCCTTTGCAACAACTCTTCCAATCCAAACACAGCCTAACTCGATCAAGTCCAATCTCTCCTCTTGCTTTTAGGAAGGAATTGGTCGCGTTTAACTCTGTCGCTGTGGAAAACGATATCGATAATCGCCAATTGCATGTCAAATGGGATGATGGAACAACCAGCCGTTTCCCGCATATTTACCTCCGTGACAATTGCCAATGCCCAAACTGTTTCCATCCGTCAGCAAAACAACGCAATATCAGCGACACCAGTGTTCTCGAGGCCTACGATGTCAATACCAAAGCGTCACAAGCTAAATTCTATCCCGATCGTCAAGAAATTGAGATTAAATGGGATAAAGATAATCATGTGAGTGTATTTGATACAAATTGGTTAAAAATGAGACGATTTCCTACCGATCGTGACCAAGTGGGTCATAAAATAATTTATTCAGATCGTCGATTGTGGGGTGGTGATTTAAATGGCGATATACCAACTACGGATTTTAATGAAATTCTCCATGACGATCTTGAGCTATACAAATGGCTGAAAAATCTAGCTAGAGTTGGCTTAACGTTGGTTAAGAATGTACCTGAAGAAGTAGGACAAGTAGAACGCCTAGCAGATAGAATTGCCTATTTGAGAGTTACTAATTATGGGTAAGATTGTAGTAAATTACTGAAAGTTATCCGCTCATTTATAAAAAAAAAAACACCACGACCACATTTGTATTATTAAAAGCTTCGGCTATATACAGCAAAGTGATCTTTCACTTTCCTGTTTCAACTATCTGAACGATAATATAACCTGTAAAAGGCAAGCTGTATCGCACTCAGCATGTTAGTAAATGAAGTTAACATAAGGCATAGTATCATTTGCATAAATTATCTAACTTTATTAAAGCATTTGTTACTCGTAATTCGTATATAACGCAAAACGCGAAGTCTTGCATCTATTTCGAATATGCCACTGAGGTTATGCTAAGGCCATATTAACTTAAAGAATGGTATTTTGGATAGGCGAACTTTCACCGTAAAATCGAAGCATGATCCTAGCAATTTGGCTTATACGGATAAAGGTCTAGCTTTGCATACTGATCTACCATTCTTCGACTTAGTTCCTGGGGTGAGATACTGTAATGACATTTGTTATACAAATGAATCATTTTACAATGCCTGTATAATGTTGCTTTACGTTGTATTTGATTACTTACGTAATTGCTAAGAATATAAATTAAGAGGTGTATTTTCAAAAATTTAGATTCAGTTCCTTCACTGCATCAAGCAAGCTGCTGGTGGAGGAGGTGAAAATCAATTCGTTGATGGCTTCAATGTTGCTGAAGTGTTAAGGAAAGAAAATCCATACTATTTTGACCTACTTACACAACATGCATTTGTTTACTTCGATATCGGAAAAGATTATGTCGAATATAACCAACTCAATCATCACCCTCTTATAACGTAAGCAATATGATTTGATAATTTTTACTTAATTGCATTCCATTGTGGGATATTATGTTGACGGTATTTGCAGAAAGGTTTCTCAATACGCTATTTATTTCTATAACGTATGTTAATATAAATCTAATGTATCCGATATGCAACTATGCAACATAGTATGTAATTGATTTAGATTGTTAGAATTCACTCCTAATTATAATATATCCTGAATTGATTTCACATTATTAGCTGATAAAGAATAATATATTCAATAAAACTAAGCTTGATTTTATTAATGTATCATGTAGATTAAATGGCCGTAATGAAGTCATTCGTTTCGTGCACAATAATCATACGAGAAGTTCCATACTGGATGTACCTGAAGATAAAGTAATTGATATCTATCGAGCATTCCACGCAATTATACAAATTATGTATGACCCAAGTAATTTAGTTACTAATAGGATGGAATCTGGAGAGATGATAGTATTTGATAATTGGCGAGTTTTACATGGCAGATCTGCTTTTCAGTTAACCGCCGGAGGCAATCGTCATTTAGAAGGTTGTTATATCGATTGGGATGAGACTGCATCACGCATGAGAGCAATTGAAGAGAAACTAAAAATGAAAAACTTCACTGGTGTTATTTAGTGAAAACACGGGAAATTTGTATAAATGGTTCTGTCTTCAGTGCTGTTATCTACTTTTAAGTAACGCTTATTACAACTACTTCAAAATTCAACTCAAAAGAAAGTAGATGATCTTTTGTCATTTGAGTAAAAGGCATGTTATTCAATACTTGGTTCGTTAGTATTTTAATACTCATCTCGCCTCTTGTGTTAGCTGAACGTCCGTGGATTTATATTTTACTAGTTTAGATATCGATGATAAATTCATCTTTCACAGTATTGAATGTATGTATTTTTACTTTTTGAATTGTAGCAGACTTATAGCAGTTATTCAGTCAACTAAAGGTATAACTCGTCAGCTGTGGGATTTATTACAGTTTTGAATACAATATGCTCAGATTGATCAAAATTATTGATAGAAGAGTGTTTTACATCGTAAGCTATGCGCTATAACGTCTATATTAAATTTCCTATATGCCGATTAATCATCACATACTCGTGCGTTTCGTACGAATTATACGAATTACTACGGATTCATTAGTATATATTGTCAGTATAATATGCTTTAGCGCAGATTATTATTATTATGGTTTTGTCCCACACACAGTATTATGTTGCACTTTCTTACACAAGTTACCGGTATTTTTATAACCTATGTAGTCTATCATATTATCATTATGGTATATTCGCACAGATTATTACATAGCTTATTGTTGCTATATTCCACATAGTGTGTTGGATCTTGAGGTTGACCAGTGATATTTTTCATAAAATGCCACTCGCACTTTGCTATTAGTTAACTGATTTTATTGAAGGTTGAACTGTACATACATTAGCAAGAGTAATTGAATGATCGTATGAAATAATGCCAAATAGGCCTCAAGACTTTCCTTTTATAAGATTCTAGCTGTAATAGTAACGGATTGCTTTGTAACTTAGCAGCGTCGTAATATACAGATATTTAAGTTTACTAAATTGCTAGACACGACACAGACAAGCATTTTGATAACATAACATGTTGATAATTTGTAATCTATAATTATTATAACTTATCTATTATAATTATTATAATTATCAGACATGACATTACGCTACGGTTCGGACTTGGTGTATTAGTGTAATGATACACATATGTTAATGTTATTCGCGACACATAGCAGAAAATCTTGAACTCTAAGTAGCTTATTATCTAGATATTTCGTCTAATCCTATGTTAACTACGAATGTTGTATCTCATTTAGCATAACTTGCTCTGCAAATAGCTTATCAAGGTATTTCATATGGGACAGCATATTTTGGCATTCCAAATAGTTACTGGTTAGTTTAACCAGAAATAAATCCTTTGTAAATGACTTCGATTTTGTAGGGGTATTTAACCACCATCCCCTGAGATTAAATCTCTGTTCTCGTTATTTGTTTCCTTCTTAAACGCGTCAAATGTTATCCGTAGATCATAAACACGGAATAAAGAGTATTCTCGTCGCTTCATTCTGTCATTACACTGTAGACTCGGGAAGATTTGTACTAGTCTACTGAATGTCAGCATAGCAATAAAAGTTGATCTTTTAAAAGGCAAGGATGAGAGTTATCTGATCCAGGATTATAGTGATTGTTTGATTTTAGATCGGTCAGCTTGCGAATACTCTGACGGTCCTGTACTGTACAATATTCGTAATCTTTATCTCTTACGAGTTCAAAGTAACTATACAGGTTAGAACTAGAGCCTAAAGTGTAGTAAAATTTACAGCATAATACTCTATGTATAAGCTAGCGACTTTTTAATATTTTGTGGTTAAACCAGGATCTGTGAAAGAGAAAGAAATCCTTCTCTAGGCGACATTGATTATATTTTATCGCATGCAGTAAATAAAAAAAATTGACATGTGTATTGCCAAA